TTTAATTAATTTAATAATTAATTAAAATATTAATAATTATTAAAAAATTAAATTGTATACATTTTTTCCCAAGTAACAATGAAAAAAAAATTTTTTTTTAAATATTTTTAGCTTTAGTTTTAGTGAAGGATAATAACCCTGAGATTCAGTAGAAAGTTCTCAGATTCTCCTGACCAAGCTCCAACACCGGCATTGTTTCTGTGGAAAGGGCTTTATAATGAGCGTTCCAGAATCTCTGGCTCTTACTCTGTCCCGGTCTCGCCGGCAGGAGGAAGATCTGCAGCGGTCTGAAGCACACATGGAGCCTGACCTACAGAGCGGCGGCCCTCAGAGCCGCATTCAGATCATGGAGGACGAGTTAGCCGCTAAGAACATGGCCATGGAGGAGCTGAGCCGCGAGCTCGAGGAGATCAGGGCCGTGTTTGGAGCTGATGGAGTGCAGCAGGTATGTGTCCTCAGACCTGCGCTGCTTTCGTTAAGGACTCGTGAGTCACGCTGGATGAGTGGGTGATGGATGGATGGATGGATGGATGGATGGATGGATGCCTGGATGCCCACGCGTGACACTGATATGACATCACTGTGATTAGGCCGAGCAGATCTCATAGCTGTTCACGTAACGTCTCTGTGTGACTCCGCTTTGAAAACGGTCTTTCTTCTTGACATTGACTCATTTTGGCTGCCAGGAAAGTCACTTTCTGTCATGTAAAACTGCAGGAAAAGTGTTCCATTGAAATATATGCGGTCCCCTGCTGTTTGGGACCTGAGGAGGTTGTTCAATTATGTTTCGTAACAGACTGAAATCCCAGCAATCAAGAGTTTTCCAGGCTTGCTGTCGTGCGCAAGTACTCCAGAGTGCAGTCAGTTTCATTGGTTTATAATACAGCACAGCTTATTGGCTTAGACGCTTGAGGCATGAGCATGCGCATTCGTTTATGTATGTTTTTATGAATGATCTACACTAGTGGTCTACCGATATATCGGCCGATATTTGGCATTTTTCCAAATATCGTCATTGGCCGATATGTTTTTCTGTTTGGCAGAGTCCGGACTTTTATTTTGACGGCGCTAAGAACGGCAGCGCCTGCGCACACAGAACACCATTTACTGAATACCCCTTTTAGATTTTTAGTAGTTATAGTCATTACTTAATAGATAAAAAATATTAATCACAGTGAAGGTCTCTTTTACTCACCTTCTTAAAATCTGCAAGTCCTCACATACTGCACAGATTTACAGGTTCAAGTGATTTTATATTTGATAGATATGTTTTTATGAATGATCTACGCTAGCGGTCTACCGATATATCGGTACCGATACATTTTTCTAATATCGGCATTGTTTTTCTGTTTGGGCGATGTGTTTTTAGGTGGTACTTTTATCTTGACGGCGCTAAGAACGGCAGCGCCTGCACACACAGAACACTATTTACTGAATACCCCTTTTAGATTTTTAGATGTTATAGTCATTACTTAATAGATAAAAAATATTAATCACAGTGAAGGTCTCTTTTACTCACCTACTGCACAGATTTACAGCTCCAAGTGATTTTATATTTGATGTAGTTATGCAGCTAGGCCTATATGGCTACAATAAGTGTTAATAACTGAAACTAATTTCATCCCGTACATACACCGATTAGAACACACGCACACACAATGAGGAGGTGGATGCATAAATCATTGGATTTTTAATACCTGATGTCACGTGGACACTTATTAACTATAAAATAGGAACCTTTAAAAACTATAACAGAAACAATATATAGGCCCAAATATTTTATTAAGAGGTAAACAAGGAAACATAAGTTTGCCATGAAATTTTTTTTTAGCACTTTGTACTAAATGCATGTGATGCATTGGGCGACGTACGGCTCATCTCCTTCAACAACAACAACAACAACAAAAAAAACGGTTGTGATTTTAATGTAAAATCAGCCGCTTATGTTCGTGTTTGTCCATTAATGAAATACAGCGAATTAAATCCCAAATTTGTGCTGATCCGCCGATCCTGATGGGAATATGAATAAAGAAGCCAATGAATGAAGCGCTAATGTAAAACAGCTCTATTCACAGTTTTCAGTCACGTGACTGGCTCGAAGAGGCAAAACATCCATAGAACTGCAGCACAAGCCGGTCAATTGTCTGTCTGTTCCAATCCTAAAATATTTATATCACCTCTCAAAAGGATAAAACAAAGATATGTGAACAAAATGCAAGTTTTGGCCATTAGCAATCCATATAAAGCACCCGCCTCAATATTTCAATCACTAAAAACAGCGGGACATTCTAAAACATTTAACGTAAAAACACTTTAAAACAGTGATATTAAAAGATGAAATTCAGCACACACCTTATTGATGATGCGTGCTTTATACAGACAAGCAGATGAGCTTGAATATGAACGCAATGCGCTGAATGGTGAAGCGTTTTCTTTATAATGGTTTTCTATTGGAAAACATTCATTATTTTAATTCTGGGTTCATCTGCTCGCCTGTGCAGAGTCTGCGTCATCAATAATGTGTACTGAATTTGGCCTTTAAATATCACTGTCTTACTACATTACTACTTAATGCAGATAATAAGATACGATTCTAGAGTTAGCACATAATATTTCTGTAATACGGCCAAATTGTTTACAAAATCGTGCCCTGAGGAATGCGCATGCTCATGCTTCAAGCGTCTACATAATAAGATTTGCTGTTTTATAAACTAATGGAATTGTGGCTGTATTTTGGGGCTACTGGACGTGTGTGGTGTGGCTTTGTGTCCTCAGCTGCAGGACTTCGAGGAGGCGCTGAAACAGAGGGATGAAATCATCACGCAGCTCACCGCCAATCTGCAGCAGGCGCGGACCGAGAAGGAGGAGGTGATGAGGGAGTTCCTGGAGCTGACGGAGCAAAGCCAGAAACTCCAGATTCAGTTCCAGCAGGTATCGGACGCGCTTCATGAGTCATTCGCAGTTCTGTGTGATTCTCAAAAACGGACAAAACACTTCTGAGCTTTATTATGATTTAGAGCAGCCTCTAACAGTAAAAAACAACAACTGTAACGAGAGCTGTAATGATACTGTAACGATAATTATAGTGATAGCTATAATGATAACGATAACTATAGCGATTACTCTGATAACGATAACTAACAATACTATAGCAATAACCTAACTATACCAAAGAACGATAACTATAGCGATTACTCTGATAACGATAACGAACAATACTGTAGCAATAACCTAACTATACCAAAGAATGATAACTATAGGAATAATGATAACTGTAGTGACAACTATAACGTTAACTAATAACTATAATGATAACGATAACTATAGCGATTATGATAACTGATAACTAGCGATTACTCTAATGATAACTATGGCGTTACTTACTCTAGTGATAACTATAATGAAAACTATAACGTTAATTAGTGATAGCTATAAAAATAGCGAAAATGATAGCAATAACTATAGCAATGATAACTATAGCCCCTAAAAATAACTAAAACTATAGCAATGTTATGTATAGCGGCAACTATAATGATAACTATAGTGCTAACGATAACTATAGCGATAACTATAGTGCTAACGATAACTATAATGATAACTATAGTGCTAACGATAACTATAGCGATTACTATAGCAATTACTCTAGTGATAACTATGATACTACAACATTAACTAATGATAACTATAAAAATAGCAAAAATTATAACGATAACCATAATGATAATTCTAGCGAAAACTAACTATAATGATAACTTTGGTGCTAACGTTAACTTTAATGATAACTATAAAAATAGCAATAACTTTAGCAATAATATTAACTATAGCCATGATAAGTATAACAATAATGATAACTATAGTGCTAACAATAAATATTAATGATAGCTATAGCGCTAACGATAACTATAATGATAGCTATAGTGCTAACGATAACTATAGCGATAACTATAGCAATTACTCTAATGATAACTTTAATGTTAACTGTAACTAACTAATGATAACTATAACGTTAAGTACTAACTATTAAAATAGCAAAAATGATAGCGATAACTTGTTATTGATAGCTAGTTATAACTATAATGATAACTGGGGGAAGTCGTGATAGCGATAACTTGTTATTGATAGCTAGTTATAACTATAATGATAACTGGGGGAAGTCGTGATAGCGATAACTTGTTATTGATAGCTAGTTATAACTATAATGATAACTTTAGGGGAAGTCGTGGCCTAATGGTTAGAGAGTCGGACTCGTAACCCAAAGGTTACGGGTTCGAGTCTTGTACCGGCAGGGATTGTAGGTGGGGGGAGTGAATGTACAGCTCTCTCTCCCACCTTCAATACCACGACTGAGGTGCCCTTGAGCAAGGCACCGAACCCCCAACTGCTCCCCGGGCGCCGCAGCATAAATGGCTGTCCACTGCTCCGGGTGTGTGTTCACGGTGTGTGTGTGTTCACTGCTGTGTGTGTGCACTTTGGATGGGTAAATGCAGAGCACTAATTCTGAGTATGGGTCAACATACTTGGCCACATGTCACGTCACTCACTTTTTTATAACTGCAAAAATAGCGATAACTATAGGGATAACTCCAATTATAGCAATATAATAGCGAGTATAACGACAAGTTGACAACTATAATGATAACTATAGTGCTAGCGATAACTGTAATGATAACTACAGTATAATAACCGCAAAAATAGCTATAACAATTACTTTAATCATAACTGTAAAGATAACGATGTTAGTTAGTATCTATACTGATAACGTTCTGCTGCAGTTTTGTCGTCTGCCGCTTAAAATCCTCAAACTCTTTAAGGTCGGGTGGATTCCGCACCCGCATATAGTGTGAAGCGGTAATTAGCTAAAACCTTTTGACTGATACATTTATATTGAAAGAAATCCGTAGACACAATCATCAACATTTTTTTCTTGCCTTCATGATAGAAGCGTGTCTGTGAAATCATTGTTTAGACTTTGTTTTTGCCCGTTGTATGACGTTTTAATGCAGTCTAATTCCAGCTTGTTTTCATTGTTGTTAAAATAAATGTGGCATCTTGTCGTTGTTTGCTAGTTTCTCTGATACCCTGACGCTTTCAGTCTTCCCTCAGCTGCAGGCCGGTGAGATACTGCGGAGCTCCAACATCAGCTCCACGGCCGCAGATCTTCTCCAGGCCCGTCAGCAGATCACGCTGTACCAGCAACAGCTGGACGAGAGGGACGCACAGGTCAGAGGTCACCAGGAGAAGACGCAGGAGCAGCTTTTATTGATCGCGCAGCTTCAGGAGAGGGTGAGTTCAGCCCACTCAGCGGCCGTCAGCCCTAGGCAGCTGTTTCCAGTCATGCGATCCAGCGTCATAAGCTTAGCTCAAATCAGGCCAAAAAAAATAGTATCGTTCATGTTAATGGCTAATGCTTAATAAAACAACCAAGCAGACATCTTTAAGTAAACCGAGTGAAAAGTGTGTGGTTATTATATTTCCTCCATTGTTTATTATCTAAGCAGTCAAATTAGGGCTGTTGATTTAAGTTACATGATCTAGCCTGTTAGAATGCAGTAGTGTTAATTTCATTAACGAAATCTATGACGGTTTTTGTTACGCCAGTTTTCATAACGTAGACAGGGCGAGTGTATATCTGAAGTCTTTGGTGTTTGTTTAGCCTCTAATGATATCCTGTGATAAATCTGTACACTAGATGAGGTCAAATAAACCATGCATACGAGTCGATATTCTATTGATTTGTTGTTATTGGTGAAAGAGCAACTTCTGATGAAATGTAAAAATAAAATTTCCCAAATGACAACAATCATTGCAATTAAAATTGAGCAAAATAATACTTTTTATAATTTTAACCATTATACAGTAAGATGAAAATGTGTAAGTTTCCACTGACTAAAACTAGACTAAAATTCTCAGACATTTAGTCGACTAAAACTTGACTAAACAAAAACAGGACAAGTTGACTACATATGATAAAAATACCATATGAGCGAGAGTGCTGTTTTTCCTCAATATCTGTATGATTGCAGATGTGATCGTGATTTTATACAGTTTAATAAACAAGAAGCTCATGTTGTGTTACATTTTAGACTCAATATTGTCTGTTTTGCTCCGTTTCAGAAAAAACTAAAAATAACTATAGCGATGATATGTATAACGGCAACTATAATGATAACTATAGTGCTAACGATAACTATAGCGATTACTCTAATGATAACTATAATGATAACTACAACATTAACTAATGATAACTATAAAAATGGCAAAAATGATAACGATAACTATAATGATATATCTAGCGAAAACTAACTATGATGATAACTATGGTACTAGCGACAACTCAGCTAGCGATAACTGCGATAACTCGCAGTCTCCTCTGGAGGCGTGGGTTCGTATCCCACTTCTGACAAGCATTACGTTTTTCCCCGGGCGCCGCAGCATAAATGGCTGCCCACTGCTCCGGGTGTGTGTTCACGGTGTGTGTGTGTTCACTGCTGTGTGTGTGCACTTAGGATGGGTTAAATGCAGAGCACTAATTCCGAGTATGAGTAACCATACTTGGCCACATGTCACTTCACTTCATAACTATAAAAATAGCAATAACTTTAACAATTACTATAACTAAAGCCATGATAAGTATAGCAATAATGATAACTATAGTGCTAACAATAACTATAATGATAGCTATAACACTAACAATAACTATAATGATAGCTATAGTGCTAACGATAACTATAAAAATAGCAATAACTTTAGCAATTACTATATAGCCATGGTAAGTATAATGAAGTTTCAGAAACAAAAATAGTACAAATCAAAGCCACGGCAGAATTGATGTGCATCTTTGTGCAAAACACAGCAGTGCTTCGTTACTAAATGAATCCAAGTTTTAGAACGAATCGAGTGAGTCAGTAATTTAGTGACTCATTCATAAAGACAATCACTTGATTCGTTTACTTAACGGATCGGCCTTTTGAACGAATCGGTTGAATGAGTGATTCAATGACTCACGCATTAAGACAGTGACTCGCTGCCACCTACTGGAGGTTTTACTTTCATAATATCATTTCATATTTCAGTATTAAATAAAAAAAAACATTAATGCTCATTTATTATCATTATTTATGCAACGTTGAATCAAAATTAAGCTACTTTTTTGTAATATCTATTCAGTGCTTTTTATATTTATCAGAATATTGACTTTAAATTAGCTTTTGGGGGGTGATTTCTCAGCCAAAATTGATGGCCGATTGATTAATCAGCACATCATGTTATTAATTAGATTCAAAATTTTAATAGCTTGACAGTCCTAGATCAAATACAACTACTTTCAAGTAAAAACTTTTTTTTTTCTGTCATCAGGTCCGCACACAAGCTGAAGAGTCGTTTGCTCAGAGTTTACGAGAGAAGGACCTACTGAATACTGAACATCAGTGTCTGATAACGCAGCTTAACGATCAGCTTCTGACTTCCAAACAGCAAGTGGAGGAATTCAACAAACATCTCGCTGCGAAAACTCAAGAGCTGGAAAACTGCGAAAAAGAGCTCTCCACGTCCAGACAGAAAGAGCGCATGTCATCCGGAGAAATCCTGCAGCTCATGAAAACCGTCGAGGACCTCCAGCAGCGCTGCCACCAGGGAGGCCAGTCGGAGAGTGAGACGCTCCGGAGAATCGAGGATGACTGGAGCCGACGGATGGAGCAGCTGCGAGCCGAACTGGATGAAATGTACGGTCAGCAGATCGTGCAGATGAAGCAGGAGCTTCGCACGCAACACGCGACGGAGGTGGAGCGAATCAGAGCGCAGCATTGCTCGGAAACTGAGAAGATCGTCCAGCAGCATCAGTCAGAGCTGGAGAGGTTTAAAGCTCAGCTGTTCCAGAGCGCCGGAGACGTTAACGTGCTAAACGTGAAGCTCATCGAGCTCCAGCAGAAGCTGCAGGAGACGCAAGTGTTGCGCGAAAAGGCGGAGCAGGAGCTAACGCAGGCGAGCGCAGAAAAACTCGGTTTGGCGCAGGAGGTGGAGCGTTTGCGCGACGAGCTGCAAAGAGCGGAAATACAGAGCCCAGAGAAAATGCAACACGCTATTAGCGACCTGCAGTCTCGGCTAGATTTAGCGCACAAAGCCAATGGCGAACTAGAAGCCAAGCACGAATCGGAAATCACCAACTATAAGATCAAACTCGACATGCTGCAGCGGGAGAAAGACGCGGTGCTGGACCGCATGGCCGAATCGCAGGAGTCGGAGCTGGAACGCCTGCGAACGCAGCTCTTGTTTAGCCACGAGGAGGAGCTCTCCCGACTTCGCGACGACCTCCAACGGGAAAGCCAGCTGAATGTGGAGAACCTGCGCGACGAGTTGGGCGTGAGGCACCGCGAGGCTTTGGACGGTTTCGAGGACAAGCTGCGGTCGGTGGAGCGAGAGAGGGTGGCGCTGGCGGCGGAGAGACTCGTGCTGCTCGAGGAGATCGTAGCTTTGAAAAACGACCTGAATCGGGCGACGGAAAGCGTGAGAGCTGAGGAGATGGTCGCGCAGCTGAAGGAGCTGCAGGCGGAAGTCGGAAGCGAAGAAAAAGACTTGCATGCAACCGCAAGGGATGAGCTGACAGCGCTGAAGAACGAGCGCGAAAACCTCCTGCAGAAAATCGCCCGCCTTTCCTCGGACAACGAACAGATGTGTGCGCGACTGAAAGAGCTTCGGGAGGAGACTGAAAAGCAGAAAAACACGTTCTCCTTCGCTGAGAAGAACTTCGAGGTGAACTACCAGGAGCTGAAAGACGAGTACACATGCCTGGTGAACGCTAAACTACAGCTAGAGCAGCGCTTGGTCAGAGAAGCCATGGAATATGAGACCAAACTCAGAGATCTGCAAACGAGACACGAGGAGGTGGATGGGAAGACGCCAATTGAAAAAGACTCTTCTGAGCTGATGGAGAAGCTGGAGACGGCTGAGAGCGAGAAGAAGAGCTTAGAGGAGCGTCTCTCGATGATGCAAACGGAGCTGGAGATGCTGAAGAGAGACAGAGACGAAGAGCTCTTCGACTGCAGCGTTGCTGGTGGGCTGTGCTCAGTGGAGACACATCACGGTCACATCAGATCTTTGCGGGAGGAACTGGATGCCTTGCAAGACGAGGAGCGCCTCGAAGCAGTGCAGCCGCAGCCACAGGAGGGGAGGGAGAGAGAGACGCCTGCGAGTACTCCAGCGCGCCGGCTCGCTTTACACACACACACAGCAGCAGCAGCAGCAGCAGCGCATGAGGATCAGCTCTCAGCGCCCAACAGACTCCCACAGCAGGTAAGAGCCGCTGCTAACGTGTGACGAATCTGCGTTTGTTTATGTCGACTACTGAACTCGCGATGCAACAGTTGGCCTGCGTTTATCTGCATTGCACTGCGTTGAAAATGCACCAGCTGTGCTTGATTTGATGTAGATGCTATGGAAAGCTTTCTCAGAGGATTTATCCATGCAGCACTGCAGGTGAAAACTGTGGGAGGAATTGATGTGCATTTGAGGGCCGAGAGAGAACGAGAGATGATTTCAAATCGAACAGAGTGCAGGGCGATGGAGGGGCGAGAGAGATTGTGTTATAAAAGAAAGAGAGAGACAGATGAGCTTTATTCTCTTGCGTGACACTCTTTGATCTCAGCAGCTCTGATGGAAAATGAGTGAATATAGACAGCTTTAAAAGGCCATCATTGACGCTTTAACTTTGTTTTTTTGTACAAAACATTATTTATGGGTGAAACTCACAAAAACATACGTAGGTCATATTCCACCCCAAAATCAAAATGTTTTTTTGTTGTTTTTTTTAATGAAAAAATTTAAATCAGCAATTATAAAAATAAATTGTGCAGTTTTTTAAAATTAAATTAATGGAAGTACAAATATTACCATGATGTAGAAATAATTTACAATGTAGATAATCGAATTCTAATCTAATTAGTTTCACATTACTGTTGTGAGAGAGAGAGTATTTTATTTGTTTTGCGTTTCATTAATGATAATGGGAAAATTTAATTATCATGACAATAATGTCACATAGCAACAAATCTTAATAGTCCTACAAATAGGCTTAGTTGCTTTTATGAAGAAAAAATTATATTGTTATAAATAGTGAAAAGTACAAATAAAAGTATAAATAAAGAAAGAAATTAAATATAAATATTGTACGTTTTTAAAACTTTTTTTTCGTTTTGATTTTGGAGTTGCAAGTATGACCCGGACATGTTCTTTGCAATTTTGTGACACAATTTTCATGCACTAATTGTAACTTAGTTTTTCAGACCATTTCCCACCGTCTCTCTGATGCTTAATTCTTAATTAAATGGGCTGATTTAGTGAATTGACATCATTTCCACGGTTGTTTGTCAGAGCAGGTGAAGTTTCTGAACACTGAGTAACTGTTGATATGTAAATGTGTTCGTCGTAATCATGCAGCTTTGTGAATGAGTGGTTTTGTGCGTGTTTGATGTTCTCCTGCAGGATCGCTCAGCTGCTGTTTGTGATCCGCAGGTGGAGACGGGAGATGCTCCGGCCGATGGAGACGCTGTCGGAGCCTCGCTCATGATGCAGCCACGGGAAATGGACGGCGCTGAGCATGTAAGTATCCGTCTTCAGCTCATAGCTGCAGCTCAAAAGTTCAGGAGGAACAAAAATAGGTGTAGGATTTACTTGGAGACAATTTTCACTGAGAAATGGCTAGTAAAGTTCACAAATAATTGCAAAGAAATGGCACATTGAACTTCAAAAAAATATTTTTTACGGTGTAAAAGTGTGTGTACATGTGCTAGAGTGTGTGTGTGAGTCTGCTGCGGTTTAAGTGCTATTAGCTGAATTTGCTTTCTTGTGTTAGTGTCGCTGTGACATTTATCAGAAACCTGCTATTAAATCATTGGAGGTGTTTCCTGTGCAGCAGATTTTTCTCTGTAATTGCTGCTCGATCTCCATCTTCCTGTGATGGTCATTAAAATGCTTGGTTTCTGCCTGTTAACACATCATTGAGGACAGAGCCGGACCCTCTCTGCTCTTTGTGTCTCATATAAAAGAGCCTCACAGTCTTATGAGTTGCTGAAGTGTGTGTGTGTGTTTGTGTGTGTGTGTGTGTGTGTGTGTGTGTGTGTGTGTGTGTGTGTGTGTGTGTGTGTGAGAGAGATGTTTGTTTCAGATAAAGACTCACAAGACGTCCAGCCTGAAACCTCAGTGTTATTTTAGTATCATTGAGATGCTATTATAGATTTTATTAATATTAGATCGTTTTTGTTTGTGAAACGGAGAGTTCCGGTCCTTGATTCTGATTGGCTGAGCCGCATTCGAAGCTGTTGTAAATGACTCTACAAAGTAACACACCTTTGTTTACGTTTGTGTGTTGCTCGGCAACCACTTTGTTGCAACCACAACTGTTTCTGAGGAACTACATTGTTTGGCGGAAGAATACTTGTCAAATATTCGCTGAGTTTCAGTTCATTTTAGTGATGCGTTTCAAACAGATATGCGCGGAGAATGAGACGGCTAAAAGCACACCCTGTTTATTTTCTTTATTTTGCAAAAGCACAATGTTTTGTTGATATTGTGAGTGTACACAAATAAAAGTAGACCCTTTACAGATTTAAATGCTGTATTACTCTTATATGTACGGTCAAGTATGAAGGAGCATTTTAGTTATTTTCACTGTCAACATTCAAATCTATAAAAAGTTCCGCCGCCAGAACTGTCGACCCCAGGGGGTTAATATCATTACACTTTATTTGCTCTGTTTTATTTTGTGAAACCTTACTACGTATATGGAATAACCGTTTTATAAAAGCAATAACCCCCGTGAAGTCGTGGTTTACAGTGAATTTATAACAGCTAAGGGGGTTTTAGGCACTCCGCTTCGCATCGTAACAACGCCCCTTAGCTGTTATAAATTCACTGTAAACCACGGCTTCACGGGGCTTATTGCTTTATTTTATATTTTCAGTTTTCATTTTAATTTGAGTTAGTTTTAGTAATTTTGTTGTGTTTTTGTCAATTTTATATATATTTTTGTCTATATAGTTTATATTTTATTTCAGTTTTTCAAGTTGAACTAAACAAAAATGTGAAATGTTGCCTTGGCAACTAGCTGAAATAAAATAAGTTTTTTATTATATTTTATTTTATTTTATTTCAGTGGCTATTTCAAGTCAAAAATTTATTTTTAAGATTTTTGTTTTGTTTTAGATTAGCATAATAAATGTTTTTATTAGTATTATTAGTTTTTATTAGTTTAGTATAATAAACTAAAATAAGGTTTTTATGGTTTTAGTTTTAGTTTAGTATAATAAACTAAAAAAAAAATAAAGTCTAGCATAATAAAGTACATTTTTATGGTTTTTAGTTTAGTATAATAAACTAAATAAATAAGTTTTTTATGGTTTTAGTATTAGTTTAGTATAATAAACTAAAAAAATAAATTCTAGCGTAATAAAGTATATTTTTATGTTTTTTTGTTTAGTATAATAAACTAAATAAATACGTTTGTAAGGTTTTAGTTTAGTAAAATAACTGAATAAATATATTTTTATGATTTTAGCTTTAGATTAGTATTATAAACTAAATATGTTTTTTATGGTTTTAGTATTAGTTTAGTATAATAAACTAAAAAAAATAAAGTCTAGCATAATAAAGTACATTTTTATAGTTTTTAGTTTAGTATAATAAACTAAAGTTTTTTATGGTTTTAGTTTTTTAGTATAATACACTAAAAAATTAATTCTAGCATAATAAAGTACATTTTTATGTTTTTTTGTTTAGTATAGTAAACTAAATAAATACATTTGTAAGGTTTTAGTTTAGTAAAATAACGAAATAAATATATTTTTATGATTTTAGCTTTAGATTAGTATTATAAACTAAATAAATATAAAATCGGAGGTAACTCTCAGGGTATGTGAGCAACTTATTCTCTGAGTAAGCCAGGTTTGGGTTAATCAGCCGAGAGTTCAGGGTAAATGTGACGGTAAGTTAACCTTGCAGCCAAACAATCCTACTGCCTGGTCATTGGTCAGTCAAACAGATAGTCCCGCCTCCAGTCTCACGCCATTGGTTGAGTTAGAAGTTGACACGTCTGGCTGATCAAAGCAAACAAAAGCATTACAGAATGTTTACACTCTTTAGGAAGTCAAAATAACAGCTGATTTCTTGAATGAATCTTAAAATCATATCTGTGTCACGTTTCACCCCAAAATCAAAAGAAATAAATAATTATGGTTTGAGCAAAAATGTTAAAGCCTGCTTAAGGAGCATTTGAGATTCATGAAAATAATCACACGGAAACGAATCTTAAACAGGTTTAGTTGGTTTTATAAAAATTTTATATGTTTTACTTCATTTTGATTTGTTCTTCCATTATTTTTTATTAAATTAATGTAAGTGCAAATATCACCATGTTGTAAAAATAATTTACAATGTAGATAATCTTCTTTTTTTTTACATTACTGTCATGAGAGTGAGAGGTTGATATTTAATTATCATAAAAAAAATGTCTTGGCAACAAATCATAATGATCCAAAATCATGCTTTGTTGCTTTTATGAAAAATAATATTTGGGAAACCGTTTTAAATCAATAATTTTTATACCGATATATTTCCTTTAGTTTGCAAACAACACCAAGTCTCTCCTGTGCAGAAATTATAAGCAAATTATTTTTGATTTTAGTTTTTAAAAATGTTTAAAGTTAGTTTAATAGTTTTAAAGTTAGTTTTTAACAAGAACTTATTTGTTAGAATTAAATAAACAACAATGAAGTTCTTTTATAATGACAGTACATTGAAGATTTGGAAATAACTATAAATAAACTATATTCAATCGCTGCATTTTTTCTGCAAAATCATGCTTTGTTGCTTTTATGAAAAATAATATTTGGGAAACCATTTTAAATCAATAATTTATTTTTATATTTTATATCATCTGCACCAGGTTGTTTTACATCGCGGTAACTTTATATATATCATATTTTGCAAATATTTTAATATTTTTTTTATAAAACATTTTTATAATTTTTTTTCTATAAATTTTTTTGCAATTTATTTTGAACTTTGAAATAGCAAATTTTTTTTTTATAAAACATTTTTATAATTTTTTTTCTATTAATTAAATTTTTTTTTAAATTTTGGAGTTTGAAATATGACCCAGACATGTTCTTTGCAGTCTCGTGACACAATTTTCTTGTTTTTCGGATCATTTTCCACTGACATCTCTCTGATCCTTTATCCTTAAATAATAGGCTGTGAATCTTTTGCATTGATTTTGGGCGCGTTTTTGTGGGATTCACCCACTAATGTTTGCTTCTGCTGTATTTTAGCCTCAGAAGGTTCTCCTTTAACCACTCACGAATCACTGCAGTTCACTCTCGGTCCGTCTGTCTGTCTTCAGGATGAGTGTCGTCTGCAGCTGGAGGCTCAGCGCATCAGTCTGTCTCAGATCCACGCCGCTCATCTCGAGCTGCTCAGAGAGAGTCTGTTTGCGCAGACACAGGCGCAGCTGCAGGAGCTGCAGGACGCACACGAGCAGCAGCTGCGGCGCTTGAGGAGAGAGCAGCAGGGAGTCAACGGTCATCCCGCAGGTCAGTGGGACGCCACATCAAACGCCGTTTCAGATGCATTATTAAGAGATCCACAGGGATTAAAGTTCCGTCACTACGACGGATTTCTGTCGGAGTTCGTAAAGACAATCACTTGCTTCATTCCTGAATGATTCAGCCGTTCGAACGAATCAATTGAATGAATGACTCGGTGATAAAATCAGTGACTTGCCGCCACCTGCTGGCGGATTTAGTTTTATTTTTAGCATATAATTTCAATTATTTAAAGGGTTAGTTCACCCAAAAATGAAAATTAGCCCAGAAATTACTCCCCCCTCAAATCATCCTAGGTGTATATGACTTTCTTCTTTCAGACGAATCCAGTCGGAGTTATATTAAAAATGG